TTGGCCTTCCAGAATTATGGCCCCAAGCCCCTCATGTTCCACTCCACTTGGGCGCCTCCCCTGTCCCTCATCTGCTAAGCAGGACTGAGGGTGAGCTGGTGCTCTAAAGGCGGCAGCACTGGCCAGACCTTTTTTGTTTTTTCCCAAGAGATTTTTGCCATAAGGTGTGCACACTCAGGAGAGAGACAGAAAGAAAGAAATCACCCCCTAGTGGGTATGGCCACGCCACAGTCTTCCTCCATTCTCCTCTCAGGATTTTGGGCATGCACACACACGCGCCCAGTGTGCTTCTCCTGCCTTGGGGTCTGAGACTCAAACTGCAGAGTCGGCCATGTTAGCGAGCTCCTTAACGCCACCTGCTGGCCCCATAGTTTTGCCACTTAAGCATGCATTTTGGAACACTAAGATTTAGTGTGAGGATGGTTTTGGATTCATACAGATAGAAGCCATGTGAAGCCATGTCTGTCTTTGACTTAATATGCTATTTGTGTGACTTGGTTATTTAGCTCCATATAGTAACAAATTGTTTTTATTGCTGTATATTGGCAGGTTATGTTAACTACCAAAACGGGCAGTGTTTCATTGTTTGAATGTTTCACAATCAGTATTTCATCCTGTTAATGTAAATGGCTATCCGAGCTGTTTCTGGGCTCATACTATTCCAGGCACTCTTTTGGTGAATATATGCACATATTTCTCTTAGGTATGTGCCTAGTAGTGACTGTCTATCTCCTTCCACTCTGGTTTGCCTTTTCATTCTCTTAAATGTCTTTTCCTTTGAGGTTAGCAGATGGTATAGCAGAGTGGTTATGTTGCTGGACTCCCACATGACCAATTGTAGTTTGAGTCCCAAACCCGATGGCTTGAAAGTCACTCTGGGCATGCGCCAAGGGACTGAGGCATGGTCATCCTCCTTGGGAGGTGACTTCTCACTTTCCCTCTCATTGTCTCTGTCTGGCCAGCACAAGCACCCTAAGGCAAAAACCTGCTTGATTTTTGTTTGTTTTTAATTTTTCCTTTAATGAGGACTGCATCTTGCATACCGTTTAAGAATCTTTTCCTAGTCTGAAGTTTTTCCATGTTTTCTAGAAGTTCTGTTTGCTCTTTACGTTAGATAGAGATTTGTGTATGTGTGTGAGTGGTGTGAAGTAGGAGGTAGGAGGTCGAGTTTCATTTGTTCCTTCCTGTCTGGGTATCTTATCTTTGACTTAATATGCTATTTGTGTGACTTGGTTATTTAGCTCCATATAGTAACAAATTGTTTTTATTGCTGTATATTGGCAGGTTATGTTAACTACCAAAACGGGCAGTGTTTCATTGTTTGAATGTTTCACAATCAGTATTTCATCCTGTTAATGTAAATGGCTATCCGAGCTGTTTCTGGGCTCATACTATTCCAGGCACTCTTTTGGTGAATATATGCACATATTTCTCTTAGGTATGTGCCTAGTAGTGACTGTCTATCTCCTTCCACTCTGGTTTGCCTTTTCATTCTCTTAAATGTCTTTTCCTTTGAGGTTAGCAGATGGTATAGCAGAGTGGTTATGTTGCTGGACTCCCACATGACCAATTGTAGTTTGAGTCCCAAACCCGATGGCTTGAAAGTCACTCTGGGCATGCGCCAAGGGACTGAGGCATGGTCATCCTCCTTGGGAGGTGACTTCTCACTTTCCCTCTCATTGTCTCTGTCTGGCCAGCACAAGCACCCTAAGGCAAAAACCTGCTTGATTTTTGTTTGTTTTTAATTTTTCCTTTAATGAGGACTGCATCTTGCATACCGTTTAAGAATCTTTTCCTAGTCTGAAGTTTTTCCATGTTTTCTAGAAGTTCTGTTTGCTCTTTACGTTAGATAGAGATTTGTGTATGTGTGTGAGTGGTGTGAAGTAGGAGGTAGGAGGTCGAGTTTCATTTGTTCCTTCCTGTCTGGGTATCTATTATCTTTACTGCTCCCCAGTGATACTGTTGTTGATATATACACAAACATAGATATAGATGTTCTATATATGTTTTGGGGTATCTATTTTATTCCACTCACCATGCATGTTCTTTATGCAAAATTCCTAAACAGAAGAAGATGTAAGAGAGCAGGGTGCACGTTGCTGATTACGAGAGAAACTGGTAACATCAGTCCGGGCTAAGATCTTGACTCTGTCACCTCTTGGCCTGTGATTGGTGAATGGCTACCTTCTTGGGGGCCCTGTTTCCTGACCTTTACATCTAGCTCAGAGACATCCAAGGTTTAGTGAATTGTGTGAAGAGTTAGAGTGGCAGGGTCAGCCCCGTGACCCAGTGGCTAAGGGAGCCAGATCGCACATGGCCAATCATGTGGTTTGAGTCTGTGCCTGTGCGTGCATGCGCAAAATTCCAGCGGGATGGAGAAATGGGGAAGAGATTGCGTGTGGCCACGCCCCAAGGGAGGGGCACCATCTCCCTTTCTGTTTCTCTGCCCAATACACAAACCCTCTGGCAAAACAAAAACAAAACTGTACTTACACAGGGCAAGCACTCACAAATAGAGGTAGCACTCATTTAGTGCCAAATTATAATCTGAATTATCACAGATAAATCCAATTGTTACATTTAGTATCAGTATTTATTTTTACAGTAATAGCAGTGGCTTTAGTTGCAGGTGCTGTCCAGATCCACCAAAGTCTTCATCTTACTTTTTAAAAATAGGAAGTTCCAAATTCTAAAACACATCTGGTTCCTGGGGCTCAGTAAAGGATCTGGGGCCTGTGTTAGCCAGATATGCAGCCTTGGGCAAGGCCCCTGTGGTCCGAGTCTCAACCTCCACACTAGTGCTACCGTTTATTAAGTTTCCACCTTACTGGAATTCCACCTTGTTGGAAAAAATCATCTTCAGATTCATTTTGGATGAAAAGTATTTTAGAAGTTTGCATGTAAATATAGGCTCTGTTTAAAGTATAAATGGGAAAGTATTATATCTGAAATGAAGATGGGAAAATATTCTTCAAACCATCTTTACATAAGGGGAAAGATTAGAGTTATACACTCTCGCATACATGCCAGATACCATCTGTCCGTCTTCCATACTTCATGCAAAAAGTAATATAAACTATAATCTACGGCTACTTGGTAGCATGGTGGTTAGGATGGCTGGATCCCTGTGGCTGACTGCAGGGTTCGCATCCCAGACCTGACCGCCTGAAAAACATGGTGGATATGTGTGAGCATGCCCAAAATCCTTAGAGGAGAATGGAGGAGGAATATGGCATGGCCATCCTCCCTGCCGGGTACTTTCTCACTGTCTCTCTCCTTTTCTTTCTCTCTCTCTGGTCACCACATGTGCCATGTAGAGAAATAAATATTTTTCAAGAAAGAAACTACAATCTCAAGCTAGAATCAGATACCATCCCCGACTCTTTACTAAGATCCACACGCATTAAGGAGAACAGAAAACAGGTTTGTACCAAACCTATGTTCATCTAGATTCATTTCATTTAGAATGGAAGAGCAGACTTTTCTCTTTCCAAGTTTTCTGCACTGCTGGTCTTACTGTATTAGGTCCTTGTGGGGACAGTGGGAGGGCAGTTAATGTCTGTGTCCCACATCAAAGCCCACTGTCACCTGGGGAGGGGCTTCAGATGAATGGATGGATAAGGCATGCCTTAACCTGGGCAAGACACAGCTGCACTCAGTGAATCTGGATTCCCACAGCCTGCGCGCTCGGCTTGGCCAGACACCCATGGGAAAGGCACTGCTGTACTGTCCAGAGGGTCTGCTTCAAGTCCAGCACGCACCTGCAAAGCCGTCACCCCTAGTCACAGCAGCCCAGGCCGTGTGGTTTCTCCAGTAGCCACTCTCCAGGCAATGCACTGCGTCTTTGGGGCTGAGGGGGATTTCGGCTAAAGAGCCTGGAGGGGCCTGATGAGTGTAACCAAGGTTTCCTCCACTTCTCGCACCACCACAGGTGCCCTGCGAAACCTGCAGTGGCTGGCAGACTGGACTGAGTGTGGTGCCCTGCTCTGCCCGCTGTAACAGCGCAGCCCCTTGTCCTGTCAGGGACCAGTACTCACACTGCACAGATGGAGGCAGCAAGAATGGGTCTGCCCCCCAGAGGCTTGCGTGCTCTGGCCACAACTACAGAACCTCAGGGCGAGCAGGCCTCTGCGGGCCCCTAAGCACCCCTCCTGACTTCCCCCAGGCCCTCCTGGGGAGTGAATTCTTTTGGGGATGAACCGGCTAGTGCAGATGGGACCCTTCCACTATTGTGAACAGCTGGGCAACTAGTAAACTCATTGGGCTTGACTGTCCTCAGACAGATCCAGGAGGCTGGCAGGGGCGACAGGCCTAGCTTTGGAATAAGACCCAGGTTTGCTCCTGTTCAGAAAATCCTGAATCGGTCTGGAACTCTGACCTCAGCTAAAAAGGGAGCTACCTTAGCCCCAGGGAAGGCTTTTACATGCTCACTGGAGAGTGTCTGCCCTGCAGGGCTGGCAAGTCACAGGGCTGTGATGATCAGCAGGGATGAGTCCCCGCCAGGCCGACCCTCCCAGCCGGGATGGAGACGCAGGCACACGCAGGGAGCAGGGAGCGCACGCTCAGGGCAGAGCTGCACCGGCCCTGACAGCCGCAGCTGGCCAAACCACAGACTGGCTCTTGAGCCGGCGGCGAGACCCAGGCCAGCGCAGCGCTCCTTGTGCACACCCCAGCCCTGCAGGCCAAGTCTAAGTGACTCGTCCAGACGGCCAGGGCAGAAAGCACCCAACGCCAATGGCCGAACAATCCCGGCTTTGTTTGGGCTTTGTCCCTGAGTTTCCAACAGGCTTTGATGTGTGTCTCCGTCTCTGACCGCTCCGGCTTCACGGGAGCTAGAGCAGAAGATCCGGGTTCCCGGAAGGAGAAGACAGGAGACAGGGAGCTCCAGGCGCTCCTGGGCCCGGCCCTGGCGCAGCGGGAGCGGGAGCCGGGCGGGCGGGGCAGGGCGCGCGCTAGCTGGG